AAAAACATTGTTCGTTACACTAAAATCATTGTTTGTTGTATACTCTGAGAGGGTGAAAACCCGTGCGCTTATTTCAGTCCACCGCGTAATCTTTATCTCCTCAGTCGTGTTGCTTTGGGAAATTCCCACGTAGAAGTTGCTGCGTTGCGTGCAGTTCTGCAAAAACTCTCGAAGCTTTTTTGCTGCGTACGCACCAAACGTCCGCGTTGGCGCCACCCATCCGTTGCGTGCGGGACATCCAACAATTGTGTTTTGCCGAAACCCCCAATTGTCTTTGTAGCGGGTTCAAGATTGGAAAGCTAACCGAGGATGACTTCAGGGAACTCGACGGGGCGGCGAGCGCCACTGGTCGCGTCGTTCGGAGCGTTTCCGCACTCGTCGGACGACAGGACTGGACTCCAGGATTCAATGAGTGAGTAGTGAGGTTGTTGATACCGCGAAGGAGTTGGGTTAGAAGGAACGCACTTGTTGATGGAGGCTTGTTTATGTTGTTCAACAAACAACTTACATCTGCCGATTGTCCCTTTTCGCATCCCAGTTTCATCCGCAGGGTTATGGCGTACGAGCCGTACTCACAGTTCATCTCACACCACCACGCACTTGACGAAGCGTGTACGATCCACGCGAGGAGCTTGCCGGACGGGATGCTACCGCACACGCCTCTCAATGAGTTCCAGCTTAGTCGACCGTGGCAACCGATATTACAGGTAGGTTATCGGCATCGGGTTTACTGCTTCACTTAGTAATATATTTTTGCCCTCGACCAGCCGAAAATCATGGAAACCCGCACCGTAGGTTGTCGTCCACGAATAACCGAACTGGTCGATCCGCCGTAAATTCCACCCTTATTTCGCGATCGTCATGTTGGAAACGTCACCCACGACGCCCTTCACACCACGTAAAAATGATGTTTTTGGATTGAATCAGGAGATGAAGAAGTACGAGGCTATGGAGTCGTTCCCCGAGATCCTCATCAGCAAGGAGAAGCAGTTAAGAGAGGATGCCGCATCGAAGGTCGAAGAGTTCAATCAGAAGATTCACAAGCGTCAACGCTGCTACTCCGCGGATGAAGCGTCGGAGGTCGGACAGGAGTGCAAGGTGAAGATTCACAAGGAGGGTCAACGCGCAGCCAGGACGAAGGCATCAGAGACCGCCGCTGCTTCCGCTGCTTGTGCGCCGCCATCGACAGCCAACGAGGGGG